TAATTTATCCCGACCACTGAGCCATGAAATCCTGGCCTTATCGATGTGGTGTTGATATCAGTGAAAAAGACTGAGTTATTTTAGGTTTGGACCAAAGCAATGTGATTGAAAAACCAGGACGTTGTACAAAAAAGGTGGTTGTTTAAACAGAGGGGTCATAAGGCGGGGTTACAATTTAATTTTATTTACAAATTGAATACTTTTTGAAAAAGAAAGAGTGCAATATTTTATGGTGAATGTGACAATCACCATGTAACGAGCGTGGAGTAAGTCAAGCTCTGGAGTCCCAGCCAAGATTCACCATTCACTTCCCAAACAAATAGTCTGCTACACTGCTTTTTTTCTGTGTGGTCACGAAACACCCCTCTCCGCTTGCGTGATGACACAAGAAATGGCTGTGTAGCAGACTACAAAACAAGGGGCAGGTACCCTGTCGTTTGTGCCACGGAGAGACCCATTGAAATCAAGGCCACGAATGTAAATGTGCACACACTGCCTAATGACAAGGTGGTATTTGAAGGAAGATGGAAGGATGCGTTTATCTGTATTTAACAAACTTACAGAAAGCTTTCCTCTGTGAGGTTCCACTTCCCAGTCGCTGAAACACAAAGCAACAATTTCTCCATCCTGTACTGTTATGGTAAACATAACCTTGGGTCTCAAAGGACTTGTTATCTCGGGATCAAAGGGCGCACGACACTCAAGAGCTTCAATCCTTCCTGGTGAAGCCTGAAAGAGGAGAGAAAGTTTTCACTCACGTAATCAGCATCTTTGACAATTGAGTTGAACAAAAGAAAGCGTTTGTTTAAGAAAAGAATTGAACTCCCACAGGATTGGTTTGGAAAAACAACATGGCAACTGCTTATTGTTTTGGAACACCAAAATGACCGCCGTCAGTTTTCTTCCCTTCCATATTCTGCTTTACTTCCTTCACATCTTCAGGAAAGCATTCGTTCTCAATACAGCGAACAAAAACTTAAGTTGATACAGTTCCACTAAAGTCAATAGGAAGTTTAAGCAACAACGACGGCGACGGCTCCGAAAACGTAACTTTTAAAGTCAATTCGCGGTGCTTCAAACTTATTACCGCGCTTATTCCATCTCGTTCAATTCCTCAAATGTTGGCAATTTTTTCTGGAGTTGAATTCTAAGAGACTGTATCGAAGTTCAGGAAAAAGAATGTGTTTGTCTTGCTGTTTAAGTCCCCCACAAAACGTGAAATTAGGCAGTTTCACGTCGAAGTCGTTCAGTGAAAGCAAAGAAATGTACAGAGAAGCGTGTTGCACGTGCAAAGTTGTTGTTTTGTCAATCTAAACCTTTTTTGACGTTCTCATTGCCGTCGCCGTTGCTAAAGCTCCCTATGGGCCTCTAGAGTGGACAATCCTCGTATACGTGACAGAATCGAACTTCCCACGCTACACCTGTAACAGCACACAAGCTGCAGGTCTTTATGAGCCTCTTTAAGCCTACGCGACCGTCTTTCCATTTCACTTTATACAATGACGTGAATGCTTCGCGCACTGTGATTGGTCGTTGCCAGTGATCTATTAGAGTACGTCACGGGAAACTTGCGCGCGCGGTTTTGAATATGTTTGTGAAATTATTTCTGATTAAGCAAGTGAAAGCCTCGCAAAAGAGTTTAGCAGGAGCTATTTACAAAGAAGGAAAATGGAGAGTTCTTGACAACTTAAGAATGCCTAAACTGCAAGAAACCTTCACAACAGTTGCCATCATGTGTCATCACTCCTAGAGACTCGCTGTTTTGCAAAATGTTTTCGCCATTATTCTGCTGTGAGCAAGAACAGACATTCAAAAAAACTTTTCGAAGAGACTGACAAAGAAAACAGAAGAAGCACAGACGAAAAGTAGATACCAAGTAATAGATCACAGAAAACGTCAGAATGTGATAAAAACATCAGTGACACACTTCTTTGTTTTTATCACATTCTGACGTCACCTGTGAGCTATTACTGAACAGACGCACGGCAACATGGAATCTATTTGTTAGAGAGTCGGTTTAATGACCGTCAGTACGGTGCGTTCGTATAGTGCAAAGTTGAACTTTGGCTGAAGTCTGCACCTCTGAGATGCTATCTGGGATTTCTCTACACTTTGCACTTGGCCAGCATTCCTCTACCTCCCAAAGGAACTCAAGTCCTCTGTTTCAAGATGTTTCTGGGGTTAAAGCCAAGTGAAGAATCATTGACAAGATTGATCCTTCCTGAGCAAAACCTCCATTGGTCGGGCAAGGCAACCGCATCGCTTGGTTCCATTCTTAATATACTGTAACGTCACTCTGAGAATCCGACCAAAAAATAACCTTGCTAATCTTGTGCGTCAGGTCATCCTTAACTTGAGATCAGCACTCTGTACTTAACAGAGAGTGTGGCTGCTTGTAACTTAAGCCTTGGAAGTGACAGAGGTCTAACTGGCGAACTCCTTGACATTTCAAGTCGAAACTCCAATGACATCTAAAAATTTCAAAGTGATAAAAAAATCTGACAGACGCACTTTCAGTAACCGTCTTTGGAAGCATCCAAAGAATACGTGAAGGAATATCATATGGCCAGTACGTACGGTTCTATCAATCATGTGACTTCGTAATTACTTGAAATTGTGATAAGGCAGCCAACTCACACTTGCACTTGTTCTAGTGGCTCTGCAAATCTTCTGGTATTTCACCATTTTCTGCATAATCTTCTTAACTTTCAAGACAACCGGGAAAAGAGATCTCATTGGATCATACAGCAAACTTACTACGGACAGAATTCTGCGTTTTGTAGGTGGTCGGTGTTTCTCTAAATCCCACTGTACACCTAGCGTTCTTTCACTGAAACTAAAGGTTCTCGAGTTCCAAACCCGGGGTTGGATTCGCACTCTCTGCATCAGGTACTTCGGACAGCATCTCTCGACTGTTACTCATTCATTTGGTCCTTCTAAACCCGGCTTACTGAGCAGACATTTCACTCTGTTTGCTTTCTTCAATTACTGTCCTTACTGACTCGAGGACGTCATTTACGTAAAAGAAATCGTTGATAGCATTCACAGCCTCACCAATGAATCTTCCTTTACAGTCCTTAGCAGCTCTCTTCAGGCAAACATGTGGCCCAAAAGATACATTAAATATTGAGCGCCTCTATAGGTCACTCTCTTCCCACAGACATAAACGGGTTGTACCTCCCTGCTCATCCGCAGAACCTAATCCTTGATGTCGTGGAATATTGCATTGGAGTTCGCGGGCAACGGTTGTCGGCCACACCTTGGGTTTCTTCTCTGAAGGAACTGCTTTGTCTCTCTAGCCTCTCCAAAAAGAGAACCTTAACCTTCCCTTAATTGGAAAGACTCATCTGTCTACTTAATCTGCACCGCAACAGGCAGTAGCTTCCTCGACATTATTGCGAAATTTCAGGTGTTCATTTCCTAGAGAGTCCTTAAGCAGTCAGCAATCTCCAACGCTTCTTGTCCATCGTTTTTTGAAAGGCTTGACCCATCAACTCATACCTTTGTCACTGCATGCAGTTGTCCAATATGTTGCAGGCAACAATATTAAAGGGCCTTCCCCACGGAAATTCCATGCTGATGGAATTTCGGCTGTTTTCTCACGCCATTGTGGATGCTGATTTCTGAGCTTATTTTTTATTTATTTGCAATAATGACATTGAAAAACAAAAATACAGAAACACACTAAAAGGGAAAGAGAACAAAAAAAGTAGATGAAAATTACTGACATCAACATACGTAATACTAATTTACAACATCATTGCTCACAACTTACATTATTAGCTTAATTATTAATTAATTACACGTACGAAGGCTAAGAGAGATAATAATTACTTTAAGTTAATCTTCCTATTTTCCACTGTGTTTTTAAATTATTTATACACTGCGTACAGTTAAGGGGCATCACATTAATTTTACAACTATATACATACTTTTTAATAAACAGGATGAGTAATTCTAGGCGGCGTCTGAGGTTATCACTTATAGGACCAGGGGCCCGTTTCTCGAAAGTCCCGGTAACTTAACGGGCCCGGAATCATATTTTTAAATCAAAGTCTCAAGAAAAGTAGGATGTGTTCTGACCTCTAATGAAGTCCATTTTGTTTCGTTAGCTAATAACTCTACTGTATGATTTTCAAAACTTTTAAAACTCCCTTCTAAAATGGAAAACAAAACAGCTTAACGGGCCCGGTAATTACCGGGAGCTTCGAGAAACGGGCCCCAGGGATATATTTTTGCATCAGAATTTGTTCAGAGGAAAGATTTATAAGAGTATTATGGGACACATAACACAATGATAAATTTTCATGATACAAATTTAACATTTACAGGGCATTGTAAGAAGGTATGCTCCAGTGAATCAGGATTCTTGCACTGATCACAAAGACCATCATTTCTGATTTTGAATTTCTTAAGTTTTTTATTGGTCACTACAATTCTTTGGAGAATTTTGTAACTAAATTCTCTTAATTTATTGTCCACGTTTAAATTCCTCGTTAACATTCATGCTTAAGAAGACTGCTTTGTGATCAGCTGCGATCGATAACCGCGTTTCCACCTTAGTAATATCTGGCTTGTATTTACCACTTACTAAGAAAAAATCTCTTCGGGATTTTAATTTCAAAGGCTTTGATTCGTATGTGTTGGATTTATTTTTAGGATGCATTTCGCGGTAAACTAAATTGATCTCTTTTATGAAATGAATTAATGAATTTCTATACTTAGTTTCTTCCCAAGTAAGACCTCCTTGCTTACCTAATGGACTTATTGTTGTATTCCAGTCACCTGCCATTACTAAATTAGAAGTATCAGTCAACGATATAATTTTTTTGTAAAAAGAATCGAGGAACTCCTTTTGTTCACGATTATCTGTGGGGACATAAACATTGACCACATCTAACCTGGCCTCACCCTGTGTTTTTAGACGCAAAATTATAAATCTCCCATTGGTGTCGAGTTCGGCTTTAATAGGCTGATTTAGCAACAGAACGGGAATGTAATTTGCCGACGGGTAAGCGCGTGGAAAGGACTAAACTCGACTTCCGGGACTCAATTTGCCGCTCTGCCATTGGTCAATCCAGTCGTTTGATTTGCGCGCGCAGTCGTCAACAGACGTTCCCGTTCCGTTGCTAAATCAGCCTAATAACACACGCCGTTGGAATGATCTGATCCATGTGAACAAAAAAATTTGACCACCCCATTCCGCCGCCCAAACCTTCTCATCTCTAGAGTTCGACAAGGTTTCTTGAAGAAAATAAACGCTAGCTTTTTGGTTTTTCAAGCATGTAAATATTGATCTTCTTTTTTCTCGATTTCATAAACCTCTCACGTTAAGCGACAAAACACTCGAACATTAACGTTGATTAGATTTAAACAAAAACTAAACACTGAAACAAACGAAAAAAGGGACAGACAAACAAAGATACAAATTACTTACCTCTCCCGGATAATAAAAAACCAACTGGCCTAAAAGAAAGCTCATTGGTGCTAGCTGGATAGGTACATTTAAGACAGCTGTAGTAATTTACTAAGTATGTAGGAGAAAAGTTAGTATTCGGAGATGATCGTTGTTTTTTTTCTCTTTTTCTTCCGCAGTCCGTCTCAAAAATTAAAGGCCTTTCAGATCTTCGTGGGAGTCAATTCTCAATACTTCAGCGGTGATGTCTAAAACATTTTGCCATCAACAGTCCATGTCTTACCATTGCGATATATTTTTTTTTTCACTTTTCTCGCCTCTTTGAAAAGCTCGGCTCTCCGTTTATAAATATCTTCTCTGCTCCTGCATCTTTCAAGTCAGTATTTCGAAGATTTAGTGTAGCTTTGTACAGCTTGCTTTTTGCGTTGTAGTTGCTAAATTTGGGCGATGATTGGTCGGGGCTTGTCTTTGCTTTTCGTGTTCATTCGATGCACAATGTCTATGCCGCCGGGTGTTAAATTCACTTGCAGACGTTTTCCCACTGTAACAACATTCGCTACGTTTAATATCTTCTTCTCCAACTTCAGCGATTCCGTGTATAACCAGATTGAATTTTCGAGTATATTGCTCGAGGTCATCATGTCTGGCTTCGATATCTTCGAGCCTTTCATCCAACTCTTCCACCTCCTTCTTGGACTCTAATAGCTGCTCCTTGAGTGATTTTACCTTCCTTTTTAAGCCTTTATTTTCTTTGACAAGAGTGTCGACTTGTCCTTTGGTATTTTATAAATTTTCTTTTAGCTCTTTGTAATTTCCTTTAAGGGATTCCATGTCTAAGACCAGCTTTTTCGTATTTGTTTTGATTTGCGTTAGAACCTTCCATATTTCAATTAGCGAAGGAGTTTCACTCGCGTTGTCGTTAGCCGCCATTGTTGCAGACCGTTTTCTGTGTCAGACTCTTCGTCTTCCTCTGGCTGGACTGTTGTATTACCCTCAAAACTCGATGAACTACTGACCTTTTTTCTTTTCCTTCTTCCCGATTTAGTCATACTTGTCTGAATTCACATTTTTAAAACTTTTCTGTACCTCTCTAAAGCGAGCTCGCTAACATACGTCCATCGTGGACAGCCGCTCGACCCCCTGATTTCTGAGCTTACGGTGCGCGTAATACTGACTCCCCATCTCTCAACTTGGATTTATGTCCTGTAAAATCCAAGCTGATGAATCCTTTCTTCAAATCCTTACTGTGGTTATGGGTTTAATGTCTTTGGTTTGTTTCTCACAGCTTAATGTCTTTGGTTTGTTTCTCACAGCTTATGTCTTGTACACTATTTGCTCCGCTAATAGGACTTCTAAAGGCATCCTCTAGCTCCTCTTAAAACTGGACCTTGGTCTTAGCCAACTCTACAGCATCCTCAGCTACTTTGATTTGATTTTCTTTGTTTAAGTGTTCTCCCTTTAATCGCCTTACTTTAGTTCGGCTTTTCAACGGCTCTTTTCTCAAGATAGAACCTTTTGTAACATTACTTTAAATTCGTTTTCATGTACAATTGCACTTGATCTGAAAACATTAGACCTTCTTGAACCTCGAACATCATCCTCACAGTAAACTTGGATGAGTGTCATCATAATTAACATCATCTTGGCAGCACTCGGGAATCCCTTGAGAACCAAGCCACATATTGGTCGTTCGATTTAAGTTATGAACCGTAGTTTCAGCTGTGTCCGGTGTAAACGACTCTCCTCACAGATCTTCTCAAAACTTTGTCTGGTAATAACGGAATCAAACATAATAAACAAGTGAATATCGCGTCCACTGATTATCTAGGATCCGTCTCGAACTTCAATGGCAAATTTGTAGTCCACCTTTAGTTATTCATGCTACAAAAAAAAACTAGAAAAAATAGAACTGACACAAACCTTAATGTCATGTGCTCCAGGTAAAACATGAGAATTGCAGGACGGACAAGGGAAAAAGGATTAAAGTTTGTGCAAAAAAACAAGAACAACAACAATAACAACTTTGTTGCCATACCTTAATGTGCACCAAGCCACCATAGGGATTTATATTGCATTTCCAAACCCCAAGCAGACAGCCATACTTGTGCAGAACTATGATAACAGTTGTGAAAAAAAAACTTAGCTGACGTAACAAACTCTAGAAAGTAACCAAAGCAAATTAACAAGTAGCTGTCAAATCAAAAAACGTTGCACTCTAGAATAAAAGAACTTCAGAACCTTGTTATGGTAATCAGCATCAAAATAAAAAGGTCTTTCAGTTGAGGATTAAACAGTGAAAATAACAAAAAGAAACATGCGAATTTAGAGGACAACACCATCACTTGAGTCAAACTAGTCTACATTTCTAAGATAAAACAAAACTTACAAAACTTACAATGTACAAAACTTACCCAGAATATACAAATCCCGAAAGGAAGTGAGAGACCACTGCTCCAGTGAGAATACACCGTACTCTAGAAACAGAATTTAGTTTGAAAAGGTAACAGGGATAATTTAAATGGCAGCGATGATCAAAAGATTTTTGAGGTTTGAAATTTTTCAGTCTGACATTTTTTGGGGTTAGGAAATTATTTTTGAGTGTGTTGATTTAAGAAGGGATTTTTTAAGGTATTCAAAACAATCTGAGCATTGGTATGATATGTGGGCTGATAGTTCTGATAGCTTGCTTGCCTGTTTTAATATATTTAAAGGAGCTGTGTCACGAAATTCAGCCCAAATTAGGAAATTACAAAATGCCCGTTAAATTAGGAGAAACATAAAAATCACCGCTTCAAACTTTAAAGGAAGGTTAAAATAACAAAACAGATACAACAGATGTCACGCATGGGCAAAACTCAAGAAGATTGAAACGGATTGAAATTAGGATTTTCAAAAACTGTTCAGCCTAACAGTTTTTCAACGTTGATCCCTGCTGCTTGCAACTTCAAAAATAATGCTCAGGAGACATATTTGTTTGTCTCGAATCTCTGATTTTGTCATTTACATGTAATTTCTTTACTTACTTTAAATTCCATAGTGATCAAGGGTGAATAATTGGCAAGATTAAACAAAATGAACTGGACTGCCGTGACACAGCCCCTTTAATGCATTTCAGTTATAAAGATTAGGTCAGCCGCACCAGTCTGCAAAGTGGGCTGTGCTTCTGAATGGCCATGCAGTGTGGGAAACTTCCTTCAACCAATCAGAAGCACTACCCAGATCTAAGTAGTACACATCCTTAGCAAGGAATTTCTGCGGTCACTCCTAGGGTATAGTTTCGTTGAGGAAGAAGTGGTTGTGTCGCGAAAGGTCGACTGTTTTCTTAAGCTATTTCAAAGATTCCTACATTTAATTAAAAAGTATTCGCTTTGATGGTTATGTATTACATAATCAATAATGATATTTAGGTGACACATAACATTCGAACAACTTGACTGGTTACTGGCTGAACATGAACGTTGCTGAAAGCGAAAAAAAAAGGTGCTACCGTCAGCAGTACTGTCAAGAGTTTTGTACAGCCACAAATACAAGTTCGACATTTACGTACATACGTAAGTTAATCCGGAAATGTTGTTGACATTTCCAATTCGTCACAACGAGGAGAAAAACGTGTAAGCTTAACTGTTCAATAACAGAGTTTCAGTTGCAATATTAAACCTTCCTTGTTGATGACCTCACACCTTCTTCTGAGTCAAGTGTATAAATAAAAGCTTTACAGTGTAATATTTGAAAAGAAATTATCGATTAAAACTTTATATAAACTCAGATCATTTCAATCCCGGCCATCGTGTCTGCTTTCACGTTCATTTGAGATCACATTCCGCAATTAAAATACAAAGATTTTATACCGCAACCGTTCTTTGCGTGTCCCTTAGAATTGCTGAAGACATGATTGTATTGTAAAACTTACCTCTGAAGCACAAATGTTGCCATATTTGATCTATCAACGAAGCGTCGTGGAATCTTTGGCATGTTCTTGCAACAACGGCAAGTTCGATTCCATTTAGGTGTTTGAAGATTGAGGCCAATAACTCGTTGGCAAGGGAAAATATTTTTGCCATCATTTCATTTTCAACTCTCCAAAGAATGCCGGGGAGAAAACGCAGTAATGCTGGAAGAACTTCCTGCTTGTCGGTCCACTATATCGAAACAATCCTCTCCCCTCCACCCCAACAACACTGTTTTTCCTTGTCCTCCTGAAAACGAGGCAACTGTACCCAGGACAACGCGAATCAAACACCAAGAGAGAGAGAAATCACAATACCGATCTACCGTTAAGTTTGTCAAGAAATAGAACGTGCTTTTTAGCTTCATTTTGGCGGCGATGTCGCAGCAAGGTGCAGCTTTGCAAACATACAATAACGAACTGGTAAAATGTGAGTATTGGAACGTAAGGAATTCCTCTGAGTAAGAGTGAGGAAACATGACAATGATGCCATTTGTAGTTTCATCCGCCATGTTGTTGATGAGCTCAGTTAAAGTGTGTAATTTTTTCATTGTTTTGTTTTTGGGTAGGCATAGAGGACCTTTGCACAAAAAGAGACGAACTCCAGAAACAAATACTCAACGAGGAAGAAGAAAAATCAAAGATTCAGAATGACATACGAATTCTCAGCGAAAGACTGGCCAAAATAAACGAAAGCCTTGCAAAGAAGATAGCTTCCAGGAATGAGTACGACAAAACAATAGCGGAGACGGAAGCGGCTTATATGAAGGTAAGTTCATTCAATGAATGTAGTAGCTAAGAATGTAGCGGGCGAGATTTCCGCACAGCCTCATACTATATACATTGATTTAGGGCCTGTTTACACGGAGATAGGTGATGTAACATGTGGCGGGTCACCCCACCGATCATGTAAAGGTGATCAAATTAAAATGAGAGATTATATGGACAGGCGGGTTACCTCACCAACCTGAGTTCCCCCACCTTGTAAACAGGCCCTTAGTATGCTTGTACCAATCTTATACAATTTTGCTCAAATAGCTAATAAATAGAGTCTAAACATGTGTACATATGATAATAAAATTTAAATGTTCAGGGCTGAGCAGAAATCTTACAGTGTCACATACCTTCAGCGGGACTGTTTGTAAAAGAGCGAATTAGTTCAAACCCAGGAGTTATTATTATATAAGTGAGGCCCTGTTAAGGTAAAATTCCGACAAGTGACTTGGCTTTGAAATAGCGACATAAAACTAGATGAAATGGTGACAAACAACATGAAGATTGGTGAAATACTGACAAGGACATGGCTTACCCCTCGAAACACGAAAAGACCATATTTAAAATTACTAGAGACATACATACCCACCCATCCCCCAGCTCCAAGAGTGCTTCATGAGTAGATGGAGTACAATTGTGCTGGTGATTGTAGTCCTGAATAGGACTGTTGTTGACAGTGACTGACATTACAACAACCTGTATGGTAGTTATCTTCAGAATGAAAGTGAGTTGTATCATCTCAGCTAATTGTATTTAACTCTGATAATTGACCTCATTGGTCAATGAGGAGGTGATGTATAAGATTAGAAGAAATAATATTTCAAATCATACATGTACGCTTGTCTGCCAAACTATGCCAACATGACAAATTCTGGGATTTTAAAAATTCTGCACCCTTCCACTATGGCCATAATGAACAGTCCCTAAGAAAGGATGATTGATTTTCCAACATTTTTCTCTCTCTCATCCTCCTACTTTAAACAGTTTAAAACTCCTTAACAGTACCAACATTAAACCACTACAGAGTGAGAATTCATAACTTCCTTTTCCCAAAATGCAAGCCTTTTGGTCACATGCGTTACTTAGACAAGAAGCTCTGCTCCACCCTAGGAAATGAGGATCTAGGGGAGGGGCCCAGAGAACCAAACTGCCTTTGGGAAAACTGATATCATTTTCAAAGCCAGAGCCCCAGAGTGAATCTTAGGGACTGGATGAGTGGCCCCCCACTTACTTTAATATCTGACAAAAGCTTCTGTGCTCCCTACAATAGTCCAGTTTTGAATTTGTTACAGCCGCTGAATAGAAGCACTGAAGACTCATTTATACAGGGTTAGCCTCGACCTAGAAGAAGACCTGTGTACAACAGTTACTGTGATTTATTTATTGTTTTAAACTCAAATTCAGGCACGTTATTGCTGGTATTTGTGAATATTTTACTTTAGGTCAAGGCTATAAATGAGTCTTTAGTGCTTAGATCAGTGTCCCCGTCAAATTCTAAACTGGATTATTCTTAGAACATAGCTGGGTGTAAATAATAACTTTGTTTGACTTTGAAGTAACAAGTTAAAAATCAACTCTTGCTCTTGCAGATTCTTGAAAGTTCCCAAACTCTTCTACATGTTCTAAAGAAAGAAACAGCAAAAGACAAACCTCAAATGAGTCACAGTCAAGGATCAGTGCGAGATAAGACTGGAACACAAACAACATGAACATACAGTGAAGATTATAGAATATAGAAATGTCAAAAGAGTTTTGTTGGTTTACTCTTTCTATGCTAGTGTTTCTGCAAGCGACAGTTCTTCTTAAGAACTGCCAGTGAAATTACTTGTTACTTGACTGTAGAGATAATTACGCAACTCCTGAATTTTATATCCCTGACTGTACGGTACTGCTACATGTATAAACTATTAAATTGTTGTAAATAAACTGCTCGATACCATCATTTTATGTGCAAAATAATAAAGAAAATTACAAACTTGTCGATTATATAATATTGCACCCAAGTTAGTTAGAATAAATGTTGGAATTTTCTAACCTTGTTTCTTCTTGTCTGTTTCATATCATTCGCCATAGTATGTGAGTACACATACTGTGGCAAAACCACCCATTTCCATTGTGAAGAGAGAAGGTGTACTTAGGCAAAATGTCATGTTAACATGAGTCTGATTAGAAGCTTTTGTTGATCTGAAAAACTAAATACATTTTTTTAGGTATGTTTAGATTAACTGTCCATAGAATTTTTCTCCTCATAAGCACATGTTTTTTACTAGGAAACTCATTTAAAGTTCCTACTCCTACTTCATGGATCAGTGTCTCCTGGTGCCAGTTCAATGAATGGGCTGTAGCAGAGCTGTGACCTTTCACTTGTTTCTTTATAGTAAGATAGACAGCTTACTAAAATGTCACCTAAAGTTGCATTGTTTCCTGCTGTTCTTCGGTCATTTTCTTTTACTAAGGAGACTGTACAACAAGGCAGGAGCTACAATTAATTTTGTGCCCCTGTAGTAACTTCTGACAAGGCCAATTACGAATATTCACCATTTTCACCGAAACCATGCACCTTTTTTGCCCCACAAAATTTTGCACAATCATTGTTTCCAATTTTTCATGGGTATTACAGTTATCCCATGAGTAATCAAACACAGTGGTTATGCAATTTCTTTTTTAGGAGGGGGTGGAGGTAAATCTGGTGCGGTGCATTGTGGTCTTGATGAAAATGGTGAATATAGTCTTCAATCCCTTGTGGTTGACTGGGATATAATGACATAACTTTGGCAGAGGAGAGATTTACTGAAAGAGATTTGTGCAGGCACACAATGGAGTAAATAATGAAAGGGTTTAATCACCGCAAATGTTTCAAGCAGTGTTGCACAGAACAAATGGGTAAGCCAAGTTAGTGGGGTCCACTGAGTGATAATGACGTAAATGTTGATACATACAGATAAGATGATAAGTAAGATAATTCATTTAGTTTATTAACACCTGCACAGGAGTCATACATGTACATCGTGGCTAAATAATAATTTATTATTTACATTTTAAAAAGCTAATTTCAAACTAATGGGTTTACAAATACACTATACAACATTTAAATATGCATGACTTGCACATGTAATATGATTTAAATATTTTCTTACTTTATTATAGCAAAGTAATCATCAACAATCTTGCAAATATCCATGATTACATTCCCACCCAGTTTTTGGTTTTGAACATAGACCATCATTTCTTTTTATCGGTCTCCTAGGCTCTGCTTGCTATGGACAATCAGAAATTTCCAAACTGGAAATAAACCAAAAGTTAGGGAGCGTAGCTGACTTTCAAGCTTCTTATTGAAGGTCAGGCATGTGTAATAGCAACCTGAATTTTAGGATTATGGGCTCCTCTTGTTGCCCACAATAACCTTTGACCAACTATGCACAAGCACTGTCTCATATAATATCTGCTTGATAATTCTGATGACCTGGTAGAGCATCGCTCAAACTAGCCAGTTTCATGTTCAATGTACTTTTGTTACTGGATGTCAATATTTACAGGATATTGTACCATCCCAGACATAATAAATTTGTTGAAACGCTTCAGAAAAACACAACATAAACTTAGTCATTTCATGAATACACATATTGCTTCCCTCCCCTTCCTGCAATGTTGGTTTCACATGTTTGCTTGGGCATAAACGTCTCCAATATGTTGGTCTACTATAGCAGTTTGGTTTTTTGTTGTTTTTGTTTTGTTTTGTTTGTTTGTTTTTCCTTTTCACATTAAGTGTTCTCTGTAAAATGAAAATTTCAAATAAAAATTAATAAAATACAAAAAAAATAAATAAACATCTTCACAATCAACATTGAAAGGGAAGGGAAGGAAGAATTCACAAGCGTTTCAACAAATTATTGACCTTTTTACTGATACGGTCGCCGTATTGAATTACTTGGATTTAAGGAGTTTTATGGGATGCCCACGGGGCATGAGCACGATCCAATATACTCGCATCGGTAATTACGTGCTTTTTGGGCAAATTGTTCTTTATAGAAAAGTTTTCCTAGAAAAAGATTGTAAAGGGAAAAAAAGATCATTGTGCCGTGTTTGGAATTGTAATAACGATCATCTTTTTGCCGAGAAATATACATTGAAGTTCTGTTTTTTCACAGAAAGTGTGCTTAAAAACTGGGTGAGTGCCCCCTGAGCATCCCATAATACTCCTGAAATGTAATAAATTCAACATGGCCATTGATCAAGGTCTATTATGACCGGAATTTAGATGCTGTACTACTCCATTCATCTTGTCCTGCTATTCCTTCCTCTGCTGTATCTTTCTTGCTTCTTGTATGGGTGAGTTCTTGTTCTTTCACTCTGTACAAGTAGAGGATGTTTTCCTTGTGGTGTGGCTTGTTGATTTTCATGACCGCTCTCCATTAATTTGAGCTTGTTCTCAATTGCTCTAATTTTGGATTCACAGCTAAAGGCAGACAAAACAAAGGAAAAAATTATTATCAAATGAATAAGGAGAGTTTCAACAAATTCCTAACATTTAAGTTTTGCTTGAAAAAACAAGTTGTATGCAACCTGGACAATAACTATTATTCACTGCATAATAAGTACTTGTGGAATTCACTTGCGTCTCTTCACTCACTGCAGTTTTGTAACAGACGTTTGCTACAACATTACACCAGGATTAATTGCTACCTAGTTCAAAGCTGTCAAGAGAGCTTCAACGTTAGTCCTGCTAATAGCAAGACTAAAGATGGTTGTTATTTGACTGCGGCAGTATTAGCTCAGTCGGGTTGAGCGTTTGATTGGAGAGCAGAAGGTTGAGGGTTCGATTCCCAGAGTCGGACCAATACTCAGAGTCTTAAAATAACTAAGAAATGAAGGTACTTCCTTTGCACTGCAAGCGGCTAGGCTCTGATGACCACATAAAATGGCGGACTGTCTCCAGCTGGAGACATAAAAATAGCGTCCCCAATTAGTACTTTCGTACTAAATACACTGGCACTCAAATAAAAATTTTATTGTTGTTTTTTTTTAATTTCATTCTTAACAAAAAATGTGCCCTTTTAACTTGTGATCATTTACAACTTGGCTGTAAGGCAGCGAGCTCAGTGTGTGGGTAACATGGTAGTCAGTAGAACCCTTGACTGTAGAGTAAATGGTCATAGCTTCGATTATTGGAATCAGACCAATACTCACAGTCAGAAAAAAACCAGCCCTGTAAAATAGCTAGACCTTCGTGTGGCTCAGATGATCAACCATGTATGTAAAATGGCCATTCTGTCTCCAGTAGGACACATGAACATAGTGTCCCCAATTAGTACTTTAGTGCTAAATAAATAGCTAAACACTTTTAAACATAAAGTGCCTTTTTTGAAAATTTCATATTAAGTAGAAGATTAACAATGAGCAAAAGAAAAGTTGAAATGAATACAAGTTGTCTCAGCTCTCTGTCTCACCTTTTTAGTGAGATTTTTGAGGATGCTGTAGATGATGGCACATTCTTTTCTTCTTGTTCTTTTAAGCCCTAGTTGGAATTGGAGACAGTTGGTGAGAGTAATCTGTACATTCTGACAAGTAATCAGGGGAGAGAAGGGACATTTTCTTCTACTGTCAAGCAACAATCTGCAGCCCACAGTTTAATCCTATAGTACTAAAAAATGACCTACACCACAGTGTTCTCACCAGGCCACATCCTTGTTGGATTGCCACAAGAAAAATAATTGAAGTGACGCATTTATGTGCCCACTTGGGTGTACAAAGATGCTACGAGCCATAGGGACTTTCAGAAGTTAGTTGGCAGTTTTTTAATGGTCTAGCAAATATTCATCCTCTTTGCTCTTTCTGATTAATGATGGTTTCTCAAAGAATTCAAACCATTAAATCATGCATGCATGCAAATGCATTTCCGTGATTTTCTTACAAATAGTTATGGTGAGTCCTGGGACGTCTCATCTTGCAAAAAATCATGAGTCCCAGTTAAAACTAAAATGAGGGGTGTTACTAAAACGAAGACCCAAAAACGAAGACCTAAGACCTAAGACCCCTTGGACTAAAACGAAGACCCCTTGGACTAAAATGAAGACCCTATGGACTAAAACGAAGACCCCCATGGACTAAAACGAAGACCCCATGGACTAAAACGAAGACCCCATGGACTAAAACAAAGACCCTATGGACTAAAACGAAGACCCTATGGACTAAAACGAAGACCCCATGGACTAAAACAAAGACCCCATGGACTAAAACGAAGACCCCATGGACTAAAACGACTGCTGCTAACCGCTGAGGGCAATGCCCGCTCCCGTAATTTGTTACGGCGATTTGGGAATGTTGTGGAATTTCCTCTGCAGTATTTTGTTGTGATAGTCAAGTCTATCACTTACCTTTTCTTCAGGTTTCTTTGCGGAAAATATTTTGCATGTTTTAAACCTCTCTGGAAGTGTTTACGGTGAAGATGATGTCAGTTTTATTTAAATGAAAGCTTTTTGCAGGGTGAAGGCGAGGGAGCCCTCTAGTGTGTCGTGTGGTTATAACGCGCGTGTGGTTATAATGCGATTGGCGTGACAAGCCCAAAGGTCATCAGCGTGTTCATGGGAGGCCTAGACAATCAAAAAGGCTTATGACAGGATTTGTCTTGTAGACTTCCGGCAAACGTGTTTTGGGCGCGTAGTTGGGGTTTGAGGGAGGAGGGGGTCCATTGCCTTTCTGATATTTTACCGTTCAAAATTCAATGTCGGATGATTTGGGTGTCATCCCGGGTGTAATGAGTTAAGAAAATATAGCCGCGTGCTCCAGCTTTCTAAAATGTCGAAGAATTGTATCAAATAGAATGCATTTAAAAAACAAAACAGTGACAACACATAGTACAGGGAGGGAATTTCTCATTGACGAATTCAAGGAGAGAGGAACCTCGCGCTCTATTTATTACTTTTTACCTGATCAATAACTTCGATCTAGAACATTACTCGAACATTATTCATTTAAGCGTGGTTCATTTGTCTTTATGCCGGGTTTTATTTGTTTTATTTATATCCCTGTCATACGCTGTTACGATATTCTGTCCTCTATTGTTAAAAAATGACTAATCTTTACGGCTTAAACAGTTGTTTTTATGATAACTGTGATAAAAAAAATAATAGTAAAAGAAAAAGAAGGAAAAAGACAAGGGAAAAAAAAAAAGCTTTCATTTAAATAAAACTGACGTCATCTTCACCGTAAACACTTCCAAAGAGGTTTAAAACATGCAAAATATTTTCCGCAAAGAAACCTGAAGGAAAGGTAAGCGATAGACTTGACTATCACAACTAAATACTGCAGAGGAAATTCCACAACATTCCCAAATCGCCGTAACAAATTACGGGAGCGGGCATTGCCCTCAGCGGTTAGCATCAGTCGTTTTAGTCCATGAGGTCTTCGTTTTAGTCCGTGGGGTCTTCGTTTTAGTCCAAGGGGTCTTCGTTTTAGTCCATGGGGTCTTCGTTTTAGCCCATGGGGTCTTCGTTTTAGTCCATAGGGTCTTCGTTTTAGTCCATAGGGTCTTCGTTTTAGTCCAAGGGGTCTTCGTTTTAGTCCATGGGGTCTTTGTTTTAGTCCAAGGGGTCTTAGGTCTTAGGTCTTCGTTTTTGGGTCTTCGTTTTAGTAACACCCCTAAAATGAGTCCTAAACTGAATATTTTTGGGCCTTTATGTAACCATGCAAACACCCTGAAGACAGACTCCAAAACTCTGTATAACAGTTTACTGGAATAAAAACTCTTTCTAGTGTGAACACAACAAAGACCAAAAGTAATATACCTCGTTAGGCAACAGCTGTAAGAACAGCCACAGAAATCACACAAACAGGATAATTACTCTATGAAAACATCTTCAGATCGATTGATCGATCTTTATGTCCCACGGGACAACTACCATGAATTATTTTGAGTCTTTGGTCCTTTTTATGTGTCAGGGATACAGGAAACAAAGGTAACAAAATTTCTCTACATTTTTACTTTGCGTAACAGACCATTTTTAGATTGTGGGCTCAAGTTCTTTGTACTGTGTGGTTTGCCATGCCACACAGTGAAAGTTAGATTCTTAAGCCCTAAAACACCAAGGCTTGGAGATAGTTTAGAAGGTTATTGAAACAGTGGTGAAGATGATGAGAAAGAGGACAATGTAGCAAGCAAATATCAAGAAGCTGTTCCATTGAAGAAAATTGTGTTTTCCAGAGTGCTCGGCTTTTGAAATACTCATGGCTTGCCTACAAAAATTTCATGCTGACAAAACAATCATAACCTTCAAGATCCTTCTTGAGGCAAACATTAAGCATATGCATTTACCCACTCCGCAGGGAATTTCAAATTTTCCAAAAAACACTTTAAGTAGACATGCTGCTAGAATTTGAACCTGCCTTGATGAAATGGAAGGCAGAGAAATTACGGAGGATTTTTTCCATTCCAGTCGTGGAACGCAAGTAACTTTGCCCTCCTTAAGCTCCCACAGGGACCCTATTTTTCGGCAGAGCGGGCCCTGGGACTCCTTAAGACAAAATCCTGGTGAAAACACTGACACTGCAAAAAATAATAATATCATTTGAAAGATTTCTGTCACCAATCAACTAAACTTTCTTTTCCCTCTAATCAGACCATATGTGATACCCTTTTAGAGAGAAGCGGGTGTGGGCACTACATACAGAAGTCCCTGTTTGAATTTCAAAACCCTCCCTTTCTCTGAATGAGGGGGCAGTGTCTATGATAGCATTAAATATTATAATTATTGTATTTGCCATAGTCATTCGTCACAGCTGTAGTTTCAATCCACCCCTGTGTTCTTTGTTACCATCGTTCATCTGTCTGATGTACCTGTTTCAAAGCCTGTCACTTGTTCAAATAATACCGTAACAAGGTCTTCTTCAAGCTAACTTTGGATCTTACAAGAACTCAAAAGTTTAAAATATTAAACATACTCCTAAAACTATTGTTATTTCACAATTATCAGCAGTCAAACTTTTATCCAGATCAATAATTAATTAACCGTGATCATTACTTGCTATAAGATTAGACTTAAAATTATTGCTTTAATTAGCCTGCGTAGCAAGCGTTTCCAATCGAGTTATTACGCGAAGGTTCGAGCGGAAGCAAAAAAAAGGTTGAAGGGGGAGCGGGAGGGGAGAAGAGGAAACGCTTGCCCGCAAACCCCACGATTCTGGAAAACGCCCCTTGATATTTCACGGTTCGGTTCATCTGTAAATTGACAGCTCGTCAAAAAAAAAAACATAACGAACAGATTACCCCTGGATTACCAGATTTGTAAAATTATTTGTCCGGAACAATTCACTCCGCCGCGTATAAGTTTTGCAGAGCGGCTTCTCTTCAGTTTGTGTCGAAATGTTCTCTACAATAGATGCCACTAAATTTCCAATAAGCAAAAAGAATCTTTCATTTCAAAAAGCTGACAAATCGTTTGTCCATGGCGGCTTTAGCTAGTGTCGAGTACCGATGTTTTGATTTATGTTGATGTTATCTCCAAACAAACAGTCCATTTTTTCCAGTCAGATCCGCACGCCGTCATTCTCAATAAATTGGCCTTCCCTAGTCTCCACTGCTCGATCTCCAATTATACTTTGAAGACTCTGATCTCATAAACCTTCGCACAAACAAGATTCCAATAAATATCCGTCCAAAGCATTAGTAATCTGCAACCACAAATCAGATGAGACCAGATCTGTAACGCACGAAAACAAAGCATACCTGGTTTGATTGATGTTTTGAATGCTAAGTAATCAACACTACCCGCACCGCGCCAATCAGAAGCTGCGTTCGTGGGTGAACGCAGTTTTTCAAAATCGTGGGGTTTGCGGGCAAGCGGTTCCTTCGCTCCCCTTCCCCTCCCCCGTCATTCATTTTTTTTTTTGCTCTTGTCCCAGCTTTCTAGACGAACCTCGCGAGGAAACGCTTGCTACGCAGGCTATGCTTTAATCTACTTACTGTTAATCCAGTTTTCTTCTTTGCCCAGTCTACAACCAGAGGCTTAGACAAGGCCAATTTACCATTTAGCCCACGCAGTGCATTTTCTGCCTGCTGTTGAGAGAGAAATATCATTGCTGGGATTTTCATAATTTATATACTATATCTGGTAATCATTTTTTTTTAACAGGGTATACTGTACAATGCATCTATACAGGATGCGTTCTTTTTTTTAAATACACACACAAAAAGAAGAACACATTCAATAATATCTTGGGTGTGCTAAAGCAGTGTTTGCCGCACTAAGTCTACAGGATACACTTATACATGTGTGTCACTTAGTGTTCACTAAATCTGTCATGAATAAAAATCAATCAACACAGTAAATTTTGCACATTACATTCTGGTACAGTGGAACCCAGTTAATATGGTCCCAATGGGTCCAAAAAATTTGGCAGTATTAATGGGGAGGCCGTTTCATCGGGGCAGGCTCAAATTTCATGACTTGAGGGCTGTAATGACAAATACACTGTACATTGCATTAGTATTTCTTGAACAACTGTTCTCATTAATAAACAACCAGAATGTAGATATCGCATACAGTAATTATTGAAAAAACTACGGCTATACTTAAAATTTTCCTTCAGTACATAAAACACTTTTAAAATTCAGCTATAAAACCACAACAAGTCCACTTCATTTGTACTGTAAAAAAAGTCTAAAAACAGTACAAGAACAGGCTCAGTGTACTAGGTCAATAAAATTGACATGTCACAGGTATTTTCATTTTCTAAATTTCAAACAAGTGGCCAAATAAATGGGGTGAAATTATAAGAGATTCTACCATTTGGGATTTTAAAATAATGTTATGGCTGTTGGCTGTATTAACCCGTTAAGCCCTAAGAGTGATCAGCATTAAATTTCTCCTTGTAATATCACTGCTTTATAAAACAGAGTGGTCATGAGAATTAAGGACATGATCACACAAGATGAATCTAATTGATACTTCAATAAACTCTCCCCACTACTTCTATTGAAAACGTATAGGGATAACAAATGAGAATTTGAATTTTGATGTTAGGGTTCAAAGGGTTAACTGCTGCATGACCGCATTAACAGGGTTTTTTTGTAAGATAATGTATGACCATTCAGCTGGACCAGAAAAAAGTGACCATAAATTGACCAGATTACCGAGGTCCCCATAAGGTGGGGTTTCACAGTACATATAATTTAAATGATCCTCGCAAGGAAATAGCTGTCACCATGTAGAGTGGTAGTGTAGAATGTAACTGAGTTTGTGTGTGTGCTGTCCAGTTTAAACAATTTTATAATCAACCAATATTAAAAGATTATTAGACCTTAAGTATGATACTCCCAAGTTTGGTTTACTGTGAACCAACCAGTTTACCCATGTACAGGATAAGCCAAGGTTTGTGTAATCTGTTGTCTTTTCATGTCTTATTTTGCTGCTTCAAGGCAGTGCTGCAAAACGTCTTTTGCTGTTCATTTACGAGAAAATATGCAAATTATCATTTGCGTTAAACGGCGACCAATAGTGCGAAGGTACATTCATTAGTGTGAAAATATGAATGTTTGTGCATAAATCAGATTCAATAACGATTTTTGAATTTTATGAATGCCCAAAATGTTATTGAATATTGATTAAAATGCAAAACTCATAATTGAATCTAACTTATGCAAAAATGTTCATATTTTCGTGCTAATGAATGGATCTTTGCACCACTGGTCACCGTTTCATGCAAATGGTTGCATATTTTCTTGTAGTGAACAGCAAAAGGTGTAAGTTCTCTTCCTTTAGAACTTCCCACGAAATTTCAAACAGAGAACTATTTTCAAGTCTATTTGTACTATCTCACCTCAAGTGTCTTGAATTCAACAAAGCAATAGCCACGAGGCTCCCCTTCTTTGACACCTGATTTATGGAAAAGTAGGTCAAGGTTCTGTATCTCTCCATAAGGTTGAAGAATCTTTAAAATATTATACCTAAAAACAATGAGGATCGATACAGTAAAACCCATGGGAAATTAGTTCAACAACTTCTTGATATTATCATTAATCAAATAAGAAATGAGTGTGACATTGAAGTTGAAGTTGAAGATCAATACAGAAAACCCTTTCAGCTGTACTGTTGATAGAGGTCGGAATTTTTTTTTTAAGCGATTGGGAGGTAAATTTTTGTTTAAGTTTTAACCTATTTTTTCTTTATTATTGCTATAAATTTCTTTTTTGTGTATGTGTTGTTAAAACAAAAAAGATGCACCCTAACTATTCATGCCAGGTGAACTGAATTACACTAATAATTATTATGCGGTGCATAGGACTATTGCAATTATCCGTACCCCCCTGGTTGAGGACCTACCTTTTCTTCTCACCCCGGAAGGTCGAATAAAATTGGATTCAACACTGGAGACTTCCTCAACCCGAAGGGTACGGGTATTATAATGCAATTTTAGTCCATAGACTGACAGTAGGAAGAACATCAAAGTAACAGCACACTAGGTTAACTCTTTAGTATGTTAGGAAGCACATACTTTCTTCAAGATTCAACGCAGCATTACAGCGAAATATCACCTATCATAAGAACAAAACTAAATTCTACTCACTCGCTTAAACGTTTGTCTAAATTTCCAATCCATAACTTTCTATGAGTACTATCATCCTTTGCCTGAAAATAATGATCTTAAAATGAGCTGTGATGCACAAGAAAACTTAATACGAAAGCTTATTTAGAATGCACTAGTATTCATCATCGAAAAAGGCAGAAAAAATATATGACATATTCATAGTTACAGTTTTGTACCTTTCCGTCAATGTCAGCTGCCATTTTGAACCTGTACACTTGTTTGATTTTACATGAGGTGGTAACCATTTTTCAGAAATGCCGCTGTAAGTAATTCCTCGATCCAGGCCATCACGTTTGATTCTGGGCTTCAATATTCAAGATGGCGGACAGAGAAGAAAATCGAAGAAAGAGCGGTGATTCCAAGAGTTCACAAGCAGCAAAGGTAAATCTTTGAGGTTGCGAGATGAATTATAATCAGCTCATTCCCTGAATAACTTTCTGGTGGGAATCGTGATACGTACTAATAACAGAAATGCAATAATCTCGTAAATTATATATTCAATGGATTGAAAGTTGTTTGCATTGTCAATTGAAGTTTTATGATTAGTGACTGTCAGGGTGGCTAGAACTCTGAACATTTTGACCAGTCGAAGCTTCCTTAAGCGGACACCCTCGGGAAGCAGATTCAGAGTCCATAATTGGTGCTGGCCGTTTATGGAAATGGGTTTTGCATGCGGAAAAATCGAAAGGAGCTTTTACAAAATAAATTCAAGAGGGGGGGCGTAAGGGGGGTACGAATACCGCAATACCGCACATGGAAGCGCGAGAATACCGCAATACCGCATCAAAATTTAGCCAAATACCGAAACCGCAGTTACAAATGGGAAAAAGTTGACGTTGCCAATACTAAAAATCCTCCTTTCAAATAGAAATAATGCTTTTATGCCAGTGTTTCCAAATCAAGGTGTGTCGATGTCAAGCGTACGATAAACATAAGATCATCGCACTCGTTTAACTTTGTTCATTACATGTATATGTTTACGTAAATGATACAACAGGAGTTTTCTAGTATTACTTTATATATTACTGGACCTGGATCATAAACGGACGGAAAACAGTTGCCTCTTATGAGGTTGTTTCAGATTCACAATTAACTCGGTTCTGTGTTGAGGGTTTCGAAACGTCAATCCGGGCTGCCTTTTGGATTCGAAGGGCGCACAGCACACACTAGCCTGCGTAGCACGGAGAATTTGGTTGTGCGCGCTAAATTATAAAGGTGGGCGCGAGCGAGGAGATTGGGCGGGAGCTGCTTCGGGGGGCGGGGACTTGGGCTAATTTTTGCTTGGTATGTGCTGTTGGCCTCTCAGAGCCCCTAAACCATCATAGTCTATTCTATGGCCCATTATAGACCCCATCTTACTCACTTTTGAACAAATACAAATATTTAATTTTCGCGATCCCAACTTCGTCCGACTTTCTATTTTTATGAATTGATCATTTTTTTAGACTGAATGAAGAACACTTTACTTTTCATCTACAATACAAGCATTCTGGTACCTTTGCTAACCGTAAATATGAAGAACTGTCTTACCCCAAAAATCAGAAAATGTGTGACCCCATTCTAGTAACTCTGAAAAGCGACCCCATTATAGTCAATGCAGTCGTGAAAATGCGACCCCATCCAGCGGCACATCCTCATTAACCTCCCCCAATATCAGGAAGTACCCCCCCTCCTCCCATCCCCGGGCCGATATGCTACGTAGGGTAAGCACACACGAATACTAGTACATTCTATATTCCTGCATGCACAACGAGAAGGACGAGTAATAATTTTAGACCACACCATCTTCATAGATTATCTTTCGACACTACGCAATTTATAACGACCTCACTGACCTCACTATTTGCTGGAATATCTGACTGATCACTTAGTTGATCATCTGGATCGCTCGCGATTGTTTTGCGACTGGCACGAAAGTGGCGGTAAGATTGGTAAGGAGGTTAAGCAAGCTGACTATTCCCACAAGGTCACTGAAGTCATAAATAATGCGACATGTTTACGTATCATTGGATAAAAAAGTTAATGTCGTTAATCATATCAAGTGTTAACTGAAATTACAAGCCATACGATTTGTCTGCACTGTTTGGGCAATACGATCCCCGACTGTGCAACTATAGGAAGACAGGCGGGTCACGCAGGCTAGCCAGGGAGACCTTTGGTATCCTCTTGTCATGAAAAAGAAGCAGATCACCGCGACACAACAATTTTTTCACCGACTACCGCGACATAAAATTTAAACTTACCGCACACCGCTTGGACTCTGAAAACCGCAATACCGTACTTTGAAATAAAAATTACCGCAACACCGCACCAAAAATAACTCAATACCGCAATACCGCAAACCCTTACGCCCCCCTCATTCAAGTCTCAAAGTCTCAGATTTTAGTCTTGTATCTTGCGACTGTATCACACAGTCTTCATCAGCAATAAATGCTCAATGTTGTCACGCGAATTAGTCACGCGACAACAAATAATTATGAACTTCCCGCAATTTTTAAACATTTGTTGTCATGTGACTAATTCACATGTCAGCATTGAGCCTTTATTGCTGATGAACACTGTGCGATATAGTCGAAAGCTACAAGACTAAAATCTGAGACTTTGAGACTAAAATTTATTTTGTCAATTTTGTTTACCAAATTCAAGAATGAACTTTCATGGAATTAAAAGGGGTTTTGTCATTGCCAGCTCTAAGTAGAGCTCTACACTTCCAAGACTATATGGTAACAGGGCTTCAATTGTTAACTGATATAAATTTTGCAGAAGGCAAGAAAATCTAGGAAGCGCAGTATCAGTTCTGACAGTTCTGAAAGTTCACGGACCTCTAGCAGTTCCAGCAGTCCAGTAAGGTAAGTGACCTCACAAAGACAGCTAATTAGGATGAGATGTGAAATCGCTGCAAAGCTTACGAAAAGAATGGAAAGGTCCCTTTGTTTTTTGAGACCAAAAGTAGAAGGGAATTCAAATACAACTGAAATTGGTTTGACTCTCCCTTCCTTCTACAGTAGTCATGTTTACTCAACTTTGCCTGCTGAATATGTATTAGCTGTCCATTGATCTCCAAGGATGAGGTGATCATGATAATACAGTCTGATATTTTTTTCCTAGCAGCTATGCACCTCAAGCAGAAATAAAATTTTACCCATGTGTAGAAGGAAGATAAACGCCCCTGAGGTTCTGCAGAAAATGAAACTTAGACACAGACCAGAAAAACTCTGACCCCCACCTACAAGCACTTTTTTGAAAAATGAGGCCAAAAGAACTGAGACTCCTGTATTTCTAGCAAATGCATCATTTATTTTTAAGGTGTCTTAAAGCTCAAATCTGTAAAAAGTCCCTTAGGGCAGTATTAAAGAATTCACATTTCTGTCCATAGAAAGAAATCAAGAAATTCCAAATCAAAAAAGAGAAGATCAAAGAGAAGTCCATCAACACAAAGTAATAGCAGTGATTCTAGCAGCTCAGAGAAAAATGTAAGCAAACAGAAGAAAGTTAAGAGAAGTGAAGAAAAGAAAAAGAAGGTACTGTATTTCTCAACTTATACTGTATTTTTGTTCAAAGTCTCTATTTTGCTTTCTCTTCATGCACCACTTTGTAATAATTTATCTTTAAGATTTATACCATCGGTTCTTGTAATTTTTGAGAAATGGCTGGGCTTTTCTTCTAAATTGCTTTGTATTTTCTCAGGAAGCAAGAGAAGAATTTAACAGTACATGATGTACAGAAAATAATTCATTCAAAAATGGAATTTTTTCTTTTTTTATGAATGGCCACTTTAAGGCATGTTATTTGGCCTCTATTGTGAGTGAAAGAGTTATGTAGAATACTTTTTTTGCCCGTGAGACTTCACCATTTTGTCCAAGGATGTTGCTGTTGCTACATGAGGCCCTGCCAGGGTAAATTCCGACAAGCGACATGGCCCAAAAAGTAGCGACAGTGCGTAAAATGAAATCGCGACAAGAGACAACCTCCCTTGGCCAAATTGCGACAGTGATGGCAAAGCAGGCGACATGCAGGCAGGCGACATGGGACCCCCCCCCCCTGGCAGGGCCTCCTACATGTATGAAAAAGCTAAGCAGGCTCCTTTACTCAACTGCATCTTGAAAATTACCCCTTGTCTTTGTTTTCTAGAGCAGTTTGAATTGTTAGTAAGCTCATTTTCAGCTGTCTCCTAGCTACATCCCTGTATTTCCTGTAAACTAGATGTACATTGGTATGTTTTATCTTAAAGGATAAAAAGGAAAGGAAAAAGAAAAAAAAATCCAAGGATAAAGGAAAAAAGTCATCTAAATCAGCTGTCAACCAGCAGAAATATGGAAAATACGGTATCCTTATGGAAAGCGACATGTTTAGCAAACAACAAGAATTTTATTTGTGGCTTCAAGAAGTAAAGAAAGCAAATCCAGAAACCCTTCCAAGATTTGAGATGAAAAAGATGTTTGATACCTTTGCAGAAGATTACAATACTGTCACTTTACCACATAAAAAGTATGGATTTCTTTGTTTTACCAGTAATATAATACATGAAGTAATATTAGACAACAAAGTCAATGCTGTGTTCTGAAAAGCTTTGTTCACACTATATACTGAATAGCTTTTGTACCAACACAAAAAGCTATTAGGTATGGTATGAACACCAATAGAGTTCTAAAGTGTGACATCGTAAAAAATTAAATTTGTGAAATTATGGGATTTGGCAGGATATTGTGAAAGAGCAACATCCAAGAGGCCCACTTGTCAAAAACTAGTATTGTAGGGCAGATTGTCTCTGAGATATTAGCCACTTTCTGGTCTGATGACTCCATGCAAATCCTTCTAAATTAAAAAAAATTGACTTGGGTCTAAACGTTTAGACCCAAGTCAAATTTAGCAGGATTTGTGTGGAGTCATCAGAGCATAACTGGCCTAATATCTCAGAGACAATTTGCCCCTCAATACTAGTTTTTGGCAAGTAGGCATCTTGGACATTGTTCTTTCAGAATATCTTGACAAATCCCATGATTTCACAAATTTAATTTTTATGACGTTATCACTTTAGAACTCTATGACCCAGGCCTGAAAACGTCATTCACACACATCAAACATTGTGCCCAAGTGGTTGGCCAAGAGGTTTGACGAACTAAATCCCAGTCCTCAGTGCGGAATATTTACTTTCGTGTCAGTGGGTGCTAGTCCTCAGTCCTCACATTCCAAATAGTTATTCACACTACACCAAAGTATGGCACAGGACCTATCTGATATGTGCAGCTTCGCTCCGCCACAAAGAACGCGCCGAAATCACTATTCTTGTGTGTGAACAGAAGCCCTATAAGGTATGATTTTCATGCCAATGCAAAAGCCATCAGGTGTTGTGTGAACAGAGCCTAAGAATAACAGAAGGGAGACAAGCGTCCAAAGCTGTAAATTTCTGAAATTCAGGGTGCCCTGCATTTGAATTGAGTTTTCTAGTTGTCTAAGTGCCAAAGTTACAAATATGTAGCTGTCAGTGACCTGCCCAGCGTTGACAGTGTTTCTTTATAAAAGCAGTTTTTTTTGTAAGCCTAGAGGGCCATATGTTGACTGTTATTACTGCCTGCTGTAACTGCAATTTTCTATGTATTTCTTACAGGTTTTATGACCTTGAAAAATGGGAAACTAAGCAAAGAGAAAAAGGAAAGATGAAGGCCATCAAGAAAGCACAAAAGCAACAAGTTTCCTTTGAGAATGATGAATTACAACACAAATCTCTACACTCGAGAACAGGTGGCCCAGGTAAGGAGAACTGTAAAAAAGAATCATGCCATAAATAAAAATTATGCTGCATGTAGTTTATGGTATACAGTGGTGTACTATGGAATATCCTATGTGTATTGGCAGAACTGCAAAATAATAGTCAAAGGGCAATGCCCAACAGAGATTTTCCCACCTCTGATGAAATCCTACCTGCAAAAACAATGACTAGAGATTTTGTAGCTGAAGATTTGCATTGTAGTCAGTCAGGAAATGAAGTAATGATCTGAGTAAGATGGGAAGTATTTCTTTTGTTTTGGCACAATACGCTTTTGTCACATAGGAATGTTTTCATTTTCACACATAGAATGCATTAACCTAAGAAAAGGCAGTCGATCTACAAAATAAAATATATTTAAACTCCTTATTTAAAGGGTGTTTTTTGTGTTAAAAGAATTGAAGTGATCATAAGACTTTCCAACATTAGCCAAGAAAAGTTTACAATAATATTTTAAATGTTCCTCAGATAGGATTTCTGTGTTACTTAGACTCAGATGAGATTTTGTTATGAGGACGTTGGTTTATAGAAAACAAGGGATTAATATACATGCTGCTTGGCGAAGATTTCATAAATTTGATGTTTTAACCAATCAATCAGAAGTGTAGTAGAGACAGTAGTAAAGTTCTCACCTTTTTCACATTCCAATATGTTCGTTATGTTTTTCTCTTTTCTTCTTATCTGGACCGTTACTTAAAAGTCTACTGTAATTTACCTGAATGGCTGACAACTTGTCTGGTTTGCCTGACTGAAATGATAACCTGATCAGAAACAGGTCCTTCTCAGAAAAGAAACATTACAACATTGTTTTTGCATGCCTTCATGACACACTTTTACTTTCTTGGTTGATGTATATGCTAGCTTTTTAGCAGAGACGTACTAAGTGAAGCATAGAATACTCCATGGTGTGTTTAAGAAACCATAACCTGTACAGAACTTTACCTTAGAAAATAGTAAAAGGGCCTGCTACTATAGCCAAAGCTAAATTTTAAAGGTTTTTTTCAGATACATTAAAACCATGTGACTACATTGGTGTAAGAACCTGGATTTTAAGAACCTGTTAGGCTAAAAATAGGCCCCTTTATATAAGAACCTGTTTAGCCTTAAATTTGAAACAGGTTCTTATTTTCTAAAATCTATGAAGTCAACATTCAGAATCCTCTTTGGAGACACACTTGCCTTATCACTCCAACTGCAATTTAAATGCCAATGTGGTCAATGAGGTCAATTCTTTAGTTCTTCTTTTTATGGTCATTTTTACATATTAAAATCTTATTTGGTATGCAGATGTTATATGAGGAATAAGCTGAACCACTAAAGACTTGATTAGCTATATTGCATTTTTTTCTTCAGAAAAGAAGAACCTATTTTTAAAAATATTTTAGTAAGAACCTAAATAGCCTAAACTTGAGATAACTACCATTTATATAAGAATCTGTTCAGGCTAACTTGGAAAAATCCAGGTTTTTAGTCAAGGGGTTTTTACTGTATTGTTATAACAGTTTAAATTCTTTTTCAGTAGGCTTTACATATTATTCAGTTTAATCACAATACAAGAGTTCCAGAAAAATTACATTAGTCAATGTTTAAGTTGAGATTCTGGTCTGAAATGTTCAGCATGAACCTATATGAGTTGTTTTTTAGCCTTTTACCTAACAAGAAGTACCATAACTTAAAAACAATGATAAATAATTTCATGCAGCAGGTTTCTCACATTAATTAGCGGCTGCATTTCCTGTGGTGTAGAATAATAATATTCAATCTATATTTTAAGACGACAGTTATACAGTGTAGTTGCATATTAATTTTTATAATAAACTATCTCAAACTTTGAGGAAAGGATCAAGGTAAAGAGCTTTTGTTCCTTATAATTTTCTTACAGGGATGAGCAGAGATGATTTGCTTGAAATGCAAAAAGTTATGAGAGAAAGACAACAGGAGGATTATAAGAAAAAAGCTGGCTGGAAAGTGGATGAAACGAAGGGTGTACGATATCAGACAATCCTGCCCTGACCAACCAGGCTGCTGAGTTTAAAACAGAGTATTTTATTGAAATAAGTTTCACCTTGTATTATTATTATCGTTATTATTATTATTATTAATAATTAATATCATTATTATTATGATAAAAGGTTGTAAATACACTGACTTTTTATAGGGGTTTTTGGATAGGGGTCACAAATCCATTGCCCTTGGATATTTGCCTGGCCATTGTGTTTTTTAACAGGCTAAAAAAAAGGGTTTGAGATTTGGAGTTTCTGCTGCGATCACAAAAGCTTCATGTAAAAACACATCTTAATAACTCACCTTTTTGCCACAAACAACCAGAACTAACATAGATAAAGGTTATGCTGTGATGATGTAACAGCATGCAGTGGTTCCAAAAAAACCCATCTAATGGAAAGGTGAGTGACTAGTGGGGAGGGGGTTGGTGCAGGGGTTGTTAGACCTGTTTCTAAACTTCGTTTTTCTGATGAAGCTTTAGGAATAGTAGCAAAAGCTCTGATGCTAAAACTTTTTTTTGTTTGTTTTGTTTTGTAAAAAAATGTAGTTCAACATGTTACGTAATTTGTACTTTATGAAATATCAACTGGTCCCATTTATTCAAAAGTGGATGGTTCTATCCAGCCCGTGGTAGTCAATCGATAAAAATCGGTATTGATTTGCTGAATTCATTATGCAAATAGCAAATTTATTGACAATTGACTTGCAATTGAGAGTTGAAGGATCAAACATTTATCACTGTATTGTTTATCAAACATTTATCACTTTTAAATAAATCCTTAAAATATCTTTAATAATATCTTTTCTTTATAACCATGTTTAAAATCTTCTTATGATGGCTGACATTAGCCAGGTTTGCAGGCGGTCAGGTTTTACAGGATTTAGATCTCCCACCCTTTCAAAATAACGTTGGCGTAGTTTGGGGTGTAGTTGCATCCCAGAGTAGTCAATTAAATAGATAAGAAACAAAATCAATAAAAATTGTTAGCGGTGAAATGAGAAATCTATTGAGGGATTAGCCTGAATCCTGATTTGAAGGAATGTCTGAAATTTAGGCCAGGAAATCTTTATCTAAGGTTGTATTTCTTGTGAGACTTGCCTGCAAGAACTGAATGTAACTGAACCGTTTTTGTTGTCATGTACAAAATAAAGGGTTTTAGAGAGAACGTTGCGTGTGTAAAAGTTACCATATTTCTCGTTTTGTTTGCTGATCAGTTGTTACTGGTGGATGTGTTTTCTCAGCTGTACTATTAAACTCATGCCAAAAGAACAACAAAGGCAGACTTCCGTTACAAATCGATAATATCGATTTGACACAGCAATTTAGTTTATCAATTTTCACCGATTTCTGTTATCAATCGATAAACATCACTTGATTGCTACCGATTTTTATCGATTGACTACTCCGGGTATCCAGTGATTTACAGCTGTATGTAGTGGATAGAACTATCTGGCTTTTGTACAACTGGGACCTGAAGATTCCGGAGATGTTTTTAAAAGGACTTTTTCATTATTATTTTTGTTGCAAGACATTTCCATGGCATACTCAGCTGTATTTGCAACAAAAAACAACAAGTGCATGACAGCATGCTTCAAGAGGAATTTTTGATAAAATGCTCCAGTGCTCTTTTTAATAATATTGCTGTAGGTTTAAGGTCACTACTAAACACTGTATTTTGAGAATTGCCAGGTCTACTTTGAAAAGAGTGTGAACTAAGAGTAGAAAACTACTTAAATTTTGTTACAATTCTTGTTTTAAAATGTAAAAAATACAACAATAAATAATGGATTTTAAAAATACATCTAAGTTATACAACTGTATTTAAAAAAGGACATAAATACCTTCATCTTACAGACACAGTAAGTATAGGAATGTTGTCCATGCAAATTTTCTTTGTGTCAGCATTTTGTATTTTAATCACACCAGACAGTTGTTCCCATGGACAGTGAAAAATCAAGCATTTGAAGTCATAAAAATTCAAGATGGTGGCACATGGGAAATTCAATGTCAAAATGGGAAATATTCATTTTCAAGAGTCAAAAACAACTTTAACACAGTTTGCTAGAAAATTAGAAGTTTCTTGTAATATTTCACCACTCATTAGTGCTTAACTTTGCTGCCTTGTCTGCCCTGTGTTAAGAGTTCTTTTTTCAATTATTGTTTTTGATAACATTGCCACTGACTTTATATTTCATCGACAACAGACTTGTGTATTTTGTTTAAGTGATAAGTTGCAAATAAAGACTTACATTTGCCATTACTTTTCACTTGTGGTGTCTCCTGCTGTGGTGTACAAAAAACGGATTTATGCTTATCAAGTTGTCTTTGCATGTGTATTTCCAGCAAATCAGCCTTATTTCTTTTATCCACACAATTCTCTGGTAGCAAGACTATACCTTGGTCATAGCTATTATTCCACAAACCTTGGGATTGCTGGTCATCCCTTTGGAAATTCAGCCTTTCATTTTCAAATATTTTTGACAGCAATTTATCTGTTAATGGCTGACAGTTCTGTTCAGAATGCCCATGTCGGCTTTGAGTGTCATAACTGTTGGTCCTAACTTGATCATGCCTGCAGGGAAGAAAATTGTTGTTGCAAACAAGACAAGGATGTTGAGACTTTCCTGTCTCTTGATGCAATAATGAAAGATTTTCTACAGTTCTCTTCAAATCCCCAAGTTGCACTGATCTTCTCCTTTTGACAGCAGGGTACTGTTCTTTGTTTTCTTTAGAATCAACCAGCTCAAGGCTCCTTCTTTTGCAGGCTCTTCTTGGAGCACTATAACCCTCAGTGTCCGTGAATGCTGGTTTAAGGTTTTTGTGTTTTCTACCAGATGGTGAAATGTAGTGTTTTACCAACACAACCTTTGCATTACCTTCTCCTGCTGGATAGAGTACTATTGACTTCTTCGACAACACAACCTCCTGAGCAGCAGTTATTGAAGGTTCCATTGTGTATGTTATTAACAGTTGTATGATTGAATCATTATAATTTTTTTCTTCTGTTGTCACTGAAAAAGACAATAACAGAGGATTTCTATATTTCAACACATTTTGAATTTTGTTTACTTGTTTTAATTGTCTCAAAGTATATTTATCTATTCATTTATTAAAAATAACAAGTATTCAACCAGTCAAATTACACCACTGTCAATCATTTAGCATAGTTTTGGTAGTGACAATAACAAACATTATTTTCCATACTGCTTTAGATTTCCATGGAGGTGATCAATATTCCACTACAGTAGCCTGTGAATGGGCCTTTCGTCGCTATTTTTTCCCCAAACAGAGAGTCTGTTCACAGGCTACCACTACAGTATTAGTTCTGTTTAAGCTGTCAGGTTTTTCCCAATGGGTATGTTTTTGTTTTGTTGTTGTCATTTTTTTATGCCATTTCAATCAGCAAATGGGTATGAAACCCCACCAAATCAAGTCCTGAATCCCTCTAAGCGTACTTTCACATACATGTAATTGTGTAATTGGATTACAGAGGTACGTGTTGTGTGATGTGTTGTCTAGTAGAGGTTGTACAAATCAGAGGGTGTTGGTTTAGGATAGGTTGTTTATGGGAAAGTGACTGGTAATAAATGGGAGTTTCTGGATCACAGTCCAGAATTTGGTAGGAATTTGGGGGGAAGGGATGGCATGGGATTGTTTTGTATTGAGCAGAATAGGCAGGGTGCAAAGAAAATCATTTTTACACCTTGCCATTCGGGCAAGCTGAAGCTAGCATTTACTAGGCCAGATGTCATTTCAACCAGCCCCAAAAACTTTTTGACTAGCAGAATTGATTTCACAGTTGTTGATGTTATTTGAATTCTTCAAAAGATATCACTTGCCGGTTGGGCAAGTTAAAAAGAGAATTCACTAGCCCGATAGCAAAATCCACTAGCCCTGGGCTATTGGACACTACTTTCTTTGCACGCTGAATAGGGTCACAAAGTTGTGTGTTAACATTGTACGGTATAGGTTAAGGGTTTCAAGGGAACCCCCCTGCCTGTGTGGGAGGCTACCTCAACCCAGACATTGATACAATACCCCCGGTCCTTGTCAGGCCCAAACTACCCTAATACAAATGGAAATGGAAGGCATGGCAATGCTCACGAATGCTAGTACTTTTTGGTCAAATATAGGTAAAATTCTCTGGAAGGCACACTCTAAATGTCCAAGTTTTACTCTTTTACAAAAGGAGCCAACTCGAACCTTATCCCAATAAACAATTTCAATTGCAGCTGCACCCGAACCTGAAAATTTAACCCCAATGAATGAGAGAATCCTTTAGAATCCCAGCTTCAAATATGGCGGTGTGCGCAAATACAGACTGTAGACTTGCAAACTGGCAAGTTAAGTAGACAAGGTAAAAAATGATGTGAGATGATCTCATAACTATCCCCTAAATTTTTAGTCTTCTTCAAGTCTTGATACAGTTTTCATGAGTTTTGAGAACATCTCATTGTCTACTTCAGTCTACTTGCCAGTCTACATTTGTCACTCGCTGGGCCGCCGGAAATTGCAAACTAGTGCAGTCAAAACTTGTATTTTTTGGTACTTACCAACAGAACACGATATTTCCAATTCGCGATCGTACAAAGATAAAATGAAAAGAGTAGTGACAGTCGTAGTGAGCGACAAAGATGAAATTTCGCGCCCAAATCAATCAGCTCCAGGACGCATTTGCTTGACGAGGCCTGGGAAAGCTGGAACTAGTAATCGAAACAAAAATAATCATGGCCGAAAGGAAACTTGCCTCGCAAACTCTTCAAAGATTTACTGAACTAGAAGAACTTGCAGAAGAAATTATGGAAGACAAACATCAGGTGAAGCATATTCTGTGACTTAGAGTTAAGTCGGTATCGCCATGTATGCAATCTGTCTCTTGCAACCTCGTCCCCATATATCAGGCTATATAGGGCGCTTTTCCCTTCGTTTTTGGGCTGATAAGTAAAACCTGCATGATCAATCTACGCTAATAGGCGAGGTAAGTTGCTAAGGAAAAAAAAACGCTCAAAAGTATGGCCGCAGTTCCGCACACCTCTTCAGAAATTACAGTTTTTGCTTTACCCCCTCATAGAGAAAGAGACTCTTTTTTGATACCAGCCCTCAGAAATACATGATGTGTTTATGTGATTTTATCTAGCACGCGAGAGCAGATAACTTTTGAGTCTTTGTTTCAAACGCCTTAAAAGCGTTTGCTCTCACAGGCCAACTTTTCTCTAATCTGGCCTTCTTTGAACACCCCTGGTGAACAAAGCCATCCTTAGAGGGGGATGGGACAGGAAAGGGAGAAGTAGTGGGGCAACCATCATTAACCCCTTTAAGTTATACCTGCCAACTCTCACGCCTGCGGGTTGAAAACTTCGATCTCACGCCGGCTCACGCTTACAGGCCAATTTCTCAAGCCTGATTGAAAAATGTGAGTTGTTGCCGTCTTGCTTGACACAATTTCTAAAAATATGTTAACTCAGACCCATGTAAGGAACGAAAACCATGTGTAAAATGAGTAAATGACAATACCTTCCTCGCGATCTCTGGTTTTGTGGATAAGCGTTTTCTCGATAACTTCGCCTTCGGCAGACTTCGGACGTCTTCGGAAGACTTCGGACTTCTTCAGGAATCTTTGGAAATGGTTGTGTCCTCTTCAAAAATCCCAGCACTCCCAGGATAAAAATCTCACGCTTATATCTCAGAAAAAGTTGGCAGGTATACCTTTAAGTCCACATGAAAATTTAACTGCAAAGCCTTGTTATATTTCCAGCTACCATCACAGATCTTTTTAATTTTGTTCTCTGTAAATGTTTTTGTTAGATTGTTGAGCTTGACAAGAAAAGAAATGCAAACCGAGAAGCTATGAGAGCACTCAAAAAAGGAGATACAAAATCTGGTACGGTAAAGAAGTTCAATTTTGTTCCTCTTCAATCACCTTTTTCTGTTTCACCTGTCTATGACCTTCTATGTCTGAGTGAGACATAGGGACTATCCCTGCTGAGTGGGGGCATAAGGCTTTGCGATGATGCGGTTTTGCTCGATTTTTGGTGCAGTTTTGCGGAAATTTTTATTTTAAGTTGCCTTATTGCAGTTTAAAAAAACCAAGCGGTTTGTGGTATTTAGAAATTTTTGGGTAATTTCAATGTCATTTGCAGTTTTCTTATGTTTTTCTATGTGGCATTTACAGTGTTCTCCCCAACTTTTAGCACAGCAGGTAAGAGACCATTCATAGCCGGTAAGGCAAAAAAATAGTATGCACCAGAGGTGCACTTTCCTGGGGACAAGGGGGTAGTGGAGTGCAGGAAATGACACTGCCCTTGCTGGGAAATTTAAGAGCTAAGTTCTCTAAAACGTCATATCTTTAAGACCAGACAGACCAAAAACGTTATCCCCCTAATGTTAAATAATAGTTTATTTGTAAAGCAAGTTTATTATATTTTTTAGCCACCAAGTCTTGGGTATGTTTTGGAAACACCTTTATGAAGCTTCCCAGTTCCAATGTACAAGAAATGTTACAGAAAGGTTAGTATCAAATGTGAGGTTATAACTGTGCATAATAAAAATAAGTGCTACTTACACCTCATCTCTCCATAAAAGAACAGTATTGCTTCAAAATTTTGTTAAAAAAGCACTTTAAATACCCTTCTTCTTTGGTTAGATCAAAAGAACTTAGAAGAGGAAATTTCCAAACTTCGGAAAGACCTAAAGCCTAAAGTCTCCAAACTCCATGAACTAGAAGGTTGGTTGCCAGCTGTCTAATATGTTTCTATTTTTTTCTGTGGGAATGCTTTTAACATACATGGGGAAGCAGGGTGGGTAGTCAGGGAAGATACATGTGTGTGATGACCACAGGATACCCACTTAAAAACCAAACACTAATTCTTGTCACTATGTTTAAAAAAATTAGCACAACCAATGAGCACCTTTTGAAGTCACATTTCTGCAATTGCAACAAAATTGCTGAGACATTGTCCTCAAGTGGGATACATTGTGTGTATGTTTGGAAAATAAAACAATCCACACCCCTCCCCTCTCTCCTCCATTCAAAGTTTGGGTGTCTCTTGTTTTCTACAGGTAGCTTGAACAGCAGCACAACATTGCATGAAGGGGTTGGGAGAGGGGAAGCCTTATTTTCCGCTTTTATGTTGGCAAAATCTTAGAGAGGCCCTTTAGGGAAAATGCCGCAACTAGTTTTGTCACCATTGTGTGTTGTAGGGTACTTTTGTTAGAATTTACTTACCTGTGGGTCAATTTACACTTTGGAAGCAACTGAAGAGTTAAAAGTTGAATGATTAAGATAGAATGGAAACCACTATAACCATGAACCAAAAAATTACCCCACTCAGATTTGCCAGCTATTTCTAAATCCTTATGACCTCAGCTGTCTGTCTTTAAAAACCAATCAAAATGGGTGTACACCTTTGTATTCAGTACATTGAAATATATTCTATTTTACCTTAATTGTCTGGTCAGTCATAGATTGTAGATGTTGATGATGTCAAAATGTGGTCAATACAAAAAGAGTAGGTATACTACCCTGGGGGACCCCATATGAAAGAAACGGGGGTGCTTGTCAAAAAACTAGAATTAAATGCCTAAAGGAGACGAATCTGGGTGTAACTTGGGCTTTATTTGGCTCCCAAAGGAGACCATACTCCAACACAGTATCATGTAAAGATATTTCTTTATGCACAACACTAAGTGATACCTGCATGGATAAAAATAATGGCTTTCTGTCAAGAAAACCTTCATTGTAAATTGTCATGTAAATTGTAAATAATTATCATATTATTCCCCTCAGAGCTTTTATGGATAATTTAAACATTGGTTGGGGTAATTTTATTTAGCTAGACTGCTTATGGTGCAGTTTACAATAGTATTGATTAAGTAATGATTTGTGAATGCCCATCATCAGGGACACCCAACGTTAAGTTTCGAAGTTTCCGAAAATATCTGTTCAGAAGACGATTTGAGATCTAGAATTTTCGGAACATTTTTTGTAAAATTTCTTGCCTGTCTGCCTCTCCTAGGATTTTCGAACATCAAAAAATATGGTATAATTGGCCATTTTTAACGAATTTTTACCCTAAAAAGGTCACCTAGAATTTCCGGGAGCCTTTTTTCTGGCTGAAGTTTTCGAAACGGTAAGTTTTGATCCCCAGGGGCCCGACTGACATACTTTAATGACGGGGGGGTCCGAAGGATTTTTTTGGGTCTGACATTTTGGAGAAAAGGGATTTTTTTGGGTCGCGAAAACAACACAGGGATTTTTTTGGGTATTGTATTTTTCATCAGCTCAAATCAACAATAACATAAGCGAAATTTACTGCTTGTGTGGTATTACGGGATATTTCTGAGATTGTAATCTATTTGAAAAGTAATTACCGGCACTCCACGCGCATCTATAAATCCAGAGAGAAATATTCAATAGGTCACGTAATTCAAGACCTTTCAAGCCAGTCATCAAGACCACAATGGAAACACTGTATAAAAAGTAAACATTTTATGAATTAGATGTTTACCCGCTGATATATAACTATTATCAAATGATTACGTTGCTATGTAAAAATAAAGGCAAGGAAAACTGATTTTGTAAACTAAACTCAAACCGGGAGTCAATGCTGTTGAGTTCCAGCAAGAGCTAAGAGGTCCAGTCAGCTGTGATCCCATTTTTGTTGTATGATGAAGTTCTCTTGAAAATATTAGTAACATAACATCAAGCTTGCCAAAGTGGTTTATGAACCCATACAAAGATGAGTCGCTGACTCAGTTATTTCAGAAGATAAATAATAAAATTTGCTGATGCAAAAACACTGAGGGGTTTTTTTGGGTATGCTAAAAAAAGTAGGTATTTTTTTGGGTAGACAAATTCTGAAGTTGGGATTTTTTTGGGATATAAAATATGAACCTCTGTCGGACCCCCCGTCATAAAAAATATGTGAGTGGGGCGCCTGGGTTTTGATCCCTATAATTTTCGGATCATTAGACTTTCAGCTAGGTAATCCGAACCGATGAAAAATTTTTAGAGGATAAAAATATGTCTATATCTACCGTTTAAATACTAAAATACGTTTAACAATGCCATGTTTAAGTGGTTTTGAACTATATTCTCGTTGGGCGCCCCTGCTTCATGTGAAAGTGCATTTGAGATAGACCACCAGACCAGGGACTATTATACATCCCCTACTCTTAAACCTCCCACAGAGTTTCTACCCCTAAGCGAGATACCGAACACCTCCATCATTTTCCTATAAGAGTCAATTCGGGGACTTACTAATGTTCTAATAGTACACCGTTTTCGGGTAATCACCAATCAAAGTGCATAAGACTGTATAAAGTGTTTTGAATGGTTTCCTTATAGGGTTGCCTGAAGTGAAAGGATTTGACTTAACTGCATTAACAGAAGATGACCTATCGAATCTAAAGCCTTGACGATCTTGTTCTCAGTAAAACAGCTGTGATAACTAGCATAACACAAATATGTAAGCTAGTCGAGCTGATAACAAGCTGACCCAGATGAAAAAAAGCCAAGAATGCACAGGAGTGCAGTGATGGTGGGGTACTTCAGCTAGGGGTGGTACAGGGAGGCTCCGCCCGAAAGAAAAAAAAGTAGACTACGAGTAGTTCCCCATTTTTACTCAGGGATAGTAGAACGAGCGAAACGCGAGCGCGCGTGAAAATCACCCCACGCGAGAAAAGGCGACACGCAAGTCGCCTTTTCTCGCGTGGGGTGATTTTCACGCCCGCTCGAGTTTCGCTCGTTCTACTATTCCTGAGGAAAAATGGAGGACTACTTGTAGTCTAAAGAAAAGGAAGATCGATGTATAAAATGAAATAGAAGCTGAAACATGGAGTTAACTATTACCAACTGAGGAATGCGCAACGTTGGTATTACTTTAAACACAGCAGTTGAACTTTGTTTTAGCTCGTTTGTTGGTTACTGAGACATGTTATTCACGTTTTTTCTGACGACTTTTCTCTCTATTAAAAGTTCACGTGTTAAAACCGTGTTGTTAAAATTTAAAATGGTCATAAGAGCGCCTTGCACACTGTAGTTCTGTGATCCAGCAGCTGGTGACCCGTGGAATCTAATTCCAAGACGTTTTATATTTTAGTTTACATTCATAGACTGAAGGAGAATAAACTATAATCTGTTTATATAAAGCCTTGGTTTTATGAACTAAGTTGATAATGTAAATTGTTCTACCTTGCGGGAATTATTAAGAGAACGTTTTTAACACACTAGGGACTTTAAGATCCGAGACGCGACGGCTGTAAGACGCGACAGGAAGTAGATTTTCAAAGAGGAGACATGTTGCGGATGCTCAAGCCGTTGTCCTGGTGTCACCACGTCGCGTCGAGAACGTGGGTTTTGCGAGTTTGACGTTCTGCACAAAACGTGAGTATATTTGTTCCTGTGCTTGAATTAAATGATGGTATATTCCTCTAAACATGTAACATCAGCCTCCTAGGATCATTGGACGTAATGTCTGGCGACATTTTAGATCGCAGAGATGGAAGGATTTTGATCATTTTTAAATTTCTTTCAGGTGTACGAAGCTTATAAAATGGCAGCGCCTTCGACTTCGACTTCGAGCGAGGCTTGCAAGTAAGTCACGAGCTAAAACTGGAAATAGTGAATGCTGGAGTCTTCTGCATACTCTTCTCGTCTCTTGTACCGTTGCAATTCTCGATTTATTGCGTTCATCTGCGGCTAAAAGCCAATTTTAAGCCTGTATTATTTAATTTAATTTTATTAAACTGCGTGTGTTTTTATGCTTCTCTTTAGTTCAGTAATGTTTTGGACTCATGATCATGAAGCCATTCTATGCAGAGAAGTCGTCAATGTAAATCCCTACACAACTAAGAAAGGGTCAACACAAAGAAGTAGAATGTGGGAAAAAATAGCACACAACTTGAACAAATTCACTGTGCCGAAATTCAGGGTTCATAAGCGATCAGTCCGAGACCACGTCGGAATCCTTGTTTACAAGCATAAGAAGAAACTTCTAGCGGAGGAAAAAGCAACTGGGATAACTCCCGATTAGCCAACGGAACTAGAAAACCTCTTGGATATGATCATCGCGTTGGAGGAAAGTGGCGAAGCGGAATTACAGGAAACACAGGGAACAGCTAGCAAAAAACGTCAATACGATCGGGCTAAAGTGAAAGATGTTAGACTAAAAGCGATGGAGAAGCTGTCAGAGACGAAGAAAAGAGGTTCATCAGAGGATGAAAGCGATGACAAATCGAAGCGTCAACCAAGAAGTGGAGGTGATGCTATCGAACAAAGCACAAACAAAGCATTTCTTGGACTTTCTTAAATGATGCCATGGCTATTTCTGCGAAAGAATCGCCGAAGAATCAGACTGATAAAGAGCGGTTTGCAGCCGCGTCGTCTTGCATCGCGACCGAGATCTTAACTTTACTTTTCGCGCGCAAACGACGGCGTTCTACAGGTCCAGTCCTTTATCAGCCACCGCGTTCTAGAAGTCGTCGCGTCCCAGATCTTAAAGTCCCTACTGACGTCAGCTGTGACGTATAGATGACAGTATAAACTAGTAAGCCAGGACTCATTTTTGCCTGCGTGCAGACGTCTCCTATTTCCTTTGTTGCACGCGGAAAAGGTCCCTTTTCCGCGTGCAACAAAGGAAATAGGAGACGTCTGCACGCAGGCAAGACTCATTTCCGTGCAAACAAACTGGCAGTGGCATACGAAAAAGCGTAAGAAGACGTGTGAACCAGACATGCGGGGAAAAGCAAATGCTAATGCTTAGCTTCGCTATTTTTGTGATTTATAGGAAATAGAAGTTAGTTTGCACTGACAGCAGAATCAAATGATCAGACAACATGACCGGTCATCAAAGGAATTTCCTGGACATTATTCATTTCTGACCGCACACATTGTCCCTTGATCGGCCCTGATTGATAAAATTAAAAATCCTTGACAGTGCTTGGAGACGACGTCTGTACACAGGCTATTGAAATAAATACAACTTTACAGCATGAAGCCATCTGAGGGGGCCATACTTCTTTGTCCCCTTAGTCTTCTCAATTTATGGAAAAAACAGCAACAGTTCATGACTGATCTCGCAAACATTTATAAAATGTAAACAAAAGTATCTCCCATTTTAAAAAAGGATTACATTACACCTGCGAAATCTGTTTCTTCAATTCAGATCTGCTAATCATGTTATCAATGTCGTGAATAAATTAATACCACATTCTCGCAGCTTTCTTCTAGTTTCTTGTCCAGAACGAGACACTTGCAAAAATTGATTGGTATGGGGTGGATTTCCACTGTGGCTTATTTTTTACGTGCGTAGTGCGACAACGCGCGTAAAATCTACGTCTGCAAGACGTAATAAATCGAAAAGATGTATGTGAATGGTCGCACGTGAACTTAAAAGTTGAACCTCCCCCAACTTTTACGTTTAGGCGCGACCTTTTTTACATGCTACGACCCCACGTACGCACGTAGAAGAAATTTATGCTCTCCCCGCGTGACAAGTAGTTGTACCCTCGCCCCAGCTTTCCCGAGCAGCTATTTCAGGCGATCGAAGCGGAAAGTGACACAGGAGAATGCAAGCAAAGTCCAGAATTTGAAAGGGTAAGGTATATTTTGGCGCTTAAATTATGGGAAATGTGAGTTCTTTACCATTTATTTCTTTCATTTGTTTAACTGTTGGATTTTTTAGAAATTTAAATCGAATGGTTTTTCTGCCCTTTGTCTTTGCTCAGTGAGCACCTCAAATTCATAATTGGCGATTGACAAATCGAGGTTTTCTGCCTTCCGGTGGTCTTCGATCTGAATCAAGCCCTGCGTATTAAAGATAAGTACTCGCTTTTTAAATTATATACACACATTTTAGCTGGATAGCACCGTCAGAAGAACTATGATCATTCGGTTCAATCCGATTTCAAACGATGGCACGCCGACACGGTACATGTTTTTATCCATGGCGGTGAAATTTTACCCTTCTTAACCATTAAATTTTAACTTGCGTTATGAAAATCAATCCAACATTATCTCGTGATGCAGTGTATCCCCAAAAAAGATTCCTATGGGGTACCGCAAAAAAAATTATCATGACCATAAAACTCGTATTTGAGTCAAAGTTTGATGGTCGGTTGTTGTTGTCAGATTTCTATTTTGACAGTGTTTTGCATTGACCCTTATTTCAGTTTTGTTTTGTCTTCGAGTTGTTTGCCTCTAGGCTTTTTCACATTTTTAGAAACATAATCGTCTAATAACATTTTTCACCAGGTAAAAATTCCATAGATTAGCCTTCGGAAAGAAATGATATATATAGTCGACATATTTTCGGACCTAAAACAATCCTTTTGACATAAAGAACCTGACCAAGATCTGATTTCAGAGCATTAAGCCACGCGTGCTTTTATCTATTGAGGGCTTTTGAGGGCATGTTTTAATTTCCCTGTTTTTATTATTTCTTGTTCTAATCATACACTTGCCTTTCAAGATGATATACTAAAGCAATCCATATGGGTCCAGTACATATTGCTCGCATTAACATTCCTGCTTGTTATTTTTCGCGACATGAAATGGTATTATCCTATTTATTGCTTATTGAGTGATGACGTGAGTTATAAATTACAGATCGCCCCCTTTCTCTGTGTTACTTGTATGCGTTTTCAATTTGTCTCGTCTCTTTTAGGTCAAGTAATACGGGCAACGTTTTGCTTCATCCTGTAGAGCGACATTTGTTAGAAACCAGTGTTGCTCGTTTCATCACACGTGCAAGCAATCGCGCAATTGCAGTGTAGAAGGTTTTTTCTGCAAGAAGTTGTTGCCTTAAAATTGTTGCGCTGCAACTTGCGCGTGCAGGTGAAATGAGAAAAAAATCGCTATATATCTCGTAAAACAACGTAGCGCGAAAAGTTTTAATCATGAACAATCTCTTTCCAGGCTTCTAAATCTTGTGTACCCGATGTAAAGTAGAACAAAAGCCCGGTAGACAAAAGAAAATTCGTTATATACTTGGGCAAAGCTTGGATAAAATCTGACCGTGAAATCACAATTCCGCCTACCCGGAATATTCGTAAAATTTGCTTGTGGACTCGCTTATTCGTCCAAAAATACTCGTCGGGCGCCTTATTGTGCTTGAATTATGCACGGTTCGTGAAAAAAAATCGTTTATTTTGGCATTCATTGCATTAGAATATCTAGAACAGTTCTAGAGGTCTACTTGAAATAAATATTCTAATGAATTTCGAGTTATGATGGTTCAAATATCACGGTAGAAGAGAATTGTAACGCAACTTTTGGGTAATCTTTTTCCGGAATTAACGATAATCGAACGTACCCTAGTACCGTAATCGCATTTAATAATGGTAATAGGATTGAGTGGAGTCCAATTCGGATGTAGTCTTACGTATACGAAAAAATACACGCGGTTGTTACGCGGTGGTCAGATTTGTTTATCACAAGTATGATGAATGCTGAAACCACTGAGGATTATTGATAGTCAGCAGAGGTATTTTTCTACTTGGTTGTAGTTACCAGATTTTCTTACAACCGTTATGTATATCTCAGGGGCACCCATGCAACGACGGTTTCCTCCTAAATGCATTTGACAACACTTTTTAGGCTATCCAGAGTAATTTTGGGTCTCTAGAAATGCATTCTAAGCGCCGCTATAAATTTGTATCTGTTCGGTCGTCCTAGGGCAACTTTAGTCTTTTCGAAATTACAAGGGCTTCGGTATTATTTTCCCGAAAAGTTTAGATTAAGTTAAAATTGGAATTTTTCCTCATTCTTCTCTCCGTCTCACTTTCGAATCCGAAAGTTTTAGGTGTCCTTTTCCTACGAAAAATAGCCTAACTTGGGGACTAACATGCGAAATTAAACCTTTAGAAAATCGTAGGGAATTTATTAGATATGCTACGAAAATTGTACATAAATGGAACGGTCATCAACAAATTTTTAGCCTTTTCAAGCTATAGAAAATGTTAAGCAATTTTTCCCCCTTTTTTTCCGCGAGTCTCCGCGCCTGCCATCTGTAGCGGCGCGTACAAGCAATGAAAGGCCGATACTTTCGCATTCTCTGCTAATTTCAAGTCGAGAATAGAACGAGGTTGCGCGAAAAACAGTAGTGTGTAGTGATTGTACATTTATTCTTTTCTGATCTCAGGTTTTTTGGTTTATAATTTTTTTTAGTTATTCCCTTTTTTCAGCCGTGAGCTAAATCGCCCTGAAAGACCTCAAATGTAGCGGTGCTTGTAAGAGAGACCTATAGATTGGCTCGTAAAAGTCGTAAAAGTGTGTTGCACTACAGCTCAGAAACAGTAATATTTATAGAGATTTGATAGGGAAATGCGCCCTCATCAGAGGAACGAAGTTCGCAAAATTGAGCTAAAATTGTTTGAAATCGAGCGGCTGTACTTGATGAGCCAATGAAAACTGAGACTTGAGTCTCCACCAAAGGCCTCGGAACTTTTACTAATACGAGGGTGCTAATGGGGGTACCCAATTCTCAGTTAACTACTAATTTTGTGGCCAAATATCGGTTAATTACTGGGTTTTTTTGGCCAATTATCAGCAAACTGTTAACCCCATTAGTACCCTCTTACACGTGCTTAGGATACAACGGACACCAAAGATCTACAATTTGTAGTACCATCTCTTTCCGTGACATATCCTGGTATACTCCAGTGTTTTTCGAAACTATCTCTTTCTGGGGAAATTTTTACGGGGAAGGGGGGTTCTCGCCAGCCGAAGCTTTATTTGTACTAGGAGGCTCCGCAGAAAGAAAATAAACAACCTAACTGTGGGTCCAGATTATTCTGTTCTCCAAAAGCCTCCCAGCTCTCAAAAGTGTCTCAACAATTTTGTCGACGATTGTTGATTCTTCAAAATAAATGGTACCAGAAAAATGTTCAGAACAGGTTTTGACGATGGAAGTACTCGTTATCAAGTTTAATTATACTAGTTAATTGTATCAACTTATTTTTCCTTTTCAGTTTATCTCTATTTTGTTTCTTACAGGCGTTCCTAATTCCCTTTCTGTCAAGTTTAAATAAAAGA